TTAATGTCTCGTTATTTTATTTGATACTCTTTTCCATTTTGTTTGCTTGTTTCCTATGGTCGACCTAATTCCCTTTTTATTCTTTGATTTTGTGTTTCAAACTTTTGACACATTCAAATTCAATCTTGGTGTTTTAATAGAATTTTATGGAATTTTTAGTTTAGTTACTAAATACTACCTCTGTCCCATTTTATGTGTCTCATTTGAGTTTGGCACAATTGTTAATAAAGTGGTTGAAAAGGTAAACGTTGTGGTTGATATTTGAGCATAATAAAGTAAAATGTTGTGAACCACATATTTTTTCCAAAAAAAGAAATGTGACACTTATTTTGGAAGAACTCAAAAAGGCAAGTAAAACAGGTAAAATGGGACGGAGGGAGTATATAAATTTTAGTTGTTAAATAAATTTAACTATTATTAGAGGAAGATATTACAGTAACTTTAGTCAAACCTTGTAATCCAAAATACACATAAATGGGATGGAAGGAGTATGATATAGGGCCCATCTCGTATTAGGTTGAAGTAGCAGCTGATTTTTGTGGAAGGAGTATGTGGCTATCAAACGGAGCAAAAGTGTAAGCACATTACATGGTAATGAATAATGTAATACTACACACATTTTGTATCTTATACTAGAGGGTCTAGAGTAGTATACTACACACATTTTGTATCTTTACTGAGAAGGGGACTTTGGTTGTTTCTTTACATATATACTCATTTCATGAAATACAGATACCTATTATTGAAGTTTTGCCCTGTTTTCACACGTGTTAGGTCTTCCATTGTTTTGGTCAATACTTCTGCCTCCACTTTGAGGCCTTCCAGCTAGGGATGTCCCCTGTTTATATCGCTTTCCTCCGCTTCATGGGTGATGAGAGTGAAGCGCGCAACTACAGCTACAGCCTGGAGGTTGGTGCAAACGGCAGAAAGCTGATATGGGAGGGCACCCCAAGAAGCATTAGGGATAGCCATCGCAAGGTAAGGGATAGCCATGACGGACTTATCATTCAACGTAACATGGCACTTTTCTTCTCTGGCGGGGACAGGAAGGAACTGAAGCTTAGGGTTACAGGGAGGATATGGAAGGAACCACAGCATAACTCAGATGCTGGAGTGTGCATTCCTAATCTATGTACTACCTAATTCTTTTATTTTCTTAATTTTTTGGGGTAATTATTATTCTCTGTATTTGTGTAAGATTGAGAAAGAGAGAGAAATAGAGAGATCTCCAGGTTTTAACATGTGTTGTAACTTATAAAGTTCTGCTTTCAATGTACATGACCACTGAAGCTCTACCTACTTTATAAACATAATATTCATGGTAAAAGCCTTGAATTGAGTAATAGTAGAATGAAATGCACGACCAGACGACGAGTAATTAGTAACTTGGGTTTTGAGATAAGATGTACAGTTTGTTCAGGCCGAAAAGCAAGGCCCAAATGGTTTTCTTACACACATATGTATATATACAATAATACAAATATAATATGTATATATGTATATCATTATATGGAGTTAAACTTATGTACAATTGTACATCTTATGGAAAATTACAAATAAGTTGGATCGGCCTATGGACACAGGTATATGCGATGCATAAAAGTGTACAACTACTTTAATTAATTTTTTATATGTATAAATTTGAAATACAGTAAAAATATTACTCCCTCCGTATTTCAAAGATCACTACGTTTGATTATACACAAGATTTAAGGTAGAATAGTAAGGATAATGAATAGTATAAAAAAAGTAGGAAAGAGATGATAAAAAGAAAAAAAGTAGGATAATTGAGTATTTTTTAAAGAAAAAACTTACCAAAAAGAGAAAGTGTAGGGAACTTTTAAATACATCCCAAAAAAAAGTGTAGGGAACTTTTAAATATGAAGGGAAGGGAGGATAAAAGCATTTGAAATAAAATTAGAAAGTATTTCTGTATGATAAAAATTAATAGTGTGTAAGGCATACAAAATAAAAAAAGCTGTATATATTTAATTCGGCTCTTTTGAGACTGGCTTGGATGTTTTCAGTGTTGTTGTAGATATATTTGATACGGCTGTTCAGCAAGGAAGACAGCCTAGCCAACACTTATGGCGGGTTTGGACAATGTATTCACCTGATGAAAAAAGCCCGGCCTGGCCCTACATTTACACATGCCTGGACAAACGTCCAATGCAAACGCAATACAGAGATCCATTCAAAGAAAAGCGTAATATCGAGAATGTTAACCACGAACGAATCCGTTTAAGAAATAACACAACTCATTAGTATGAAGTAGTTTTGCAAACAAAAGGATTCTGAAGGGCAGTAAAGGATCAGGAAATGATGTGGATTTCATGAAAATACTTCTCTATATTAAGTGAGTGTGGGAGCTAGCGAGATACCGCCAGCCCCACTCATTTTCAAAATCTAACAAAAGCCAGCACGGGAGGCTGTGACAATGGTGCACAGTAAGTTGTTTTTATTTCCAATCATAAATTTAGTAGTTACACATAATTTTATGCGATTTTATCACAATTTTCTACCTTCAGTAGTCACCCATTAGCTTTTGACACCACCTCGTCAGTCTCCTCTTCTACAACCTCTGCTTCTCTAATTGTTGAGGTGATATTTTCTTCTGAAGCATCTGCAGCATTTTCTGTTGACTTCTGATCATCTTCTGGTTCCTTCTTACCAAACAATCTTGGAGTGTTCAGCAACGCATTAACAGCTTCTCGTGTACTTGCCTTAGCTCTTTCAGCTTCTTCCACAATCTTAGCTGCAGCTTCGGCCTTCTCCCTTTCAATGTCCTCTATAAGCTTTGTCAACTCCTCCTCCCTCCCTTCCTTCTTTAACCCTTCGCCAATAAACTCTTTCAATTCATCGGTCAAATCAGTCGGGTCCTCCCTTAGGATCCTATCCACAATTGCAAGCACCTCGTCATGCTTCCCTACATCAAATAGGGCATTCATTATGAACTTGTACTCATCGTCCCTCATCCTAAGCTTCCCCATCATCATATCGAAGAAAGATTTTGCTTTGTCAATTTTCTCAACTTTAACTAGTCCTTCAACCAATCTGTTATAAACCCCCATATTAGGCCTGAGCTTCGACTCCACCATTGTTTTGAAATATTCAGCTCCATCATCGTGCCTGTTTTCCTTGAAGCAAGTGTCCATTAACAAAACAAATGTGACCTCGTCTGGCTTTACTTTCTTATCCTCCATGTCTTTGTAAAGCTCCTCTGCCTCAGCCAAAAAATCATTGTTGCACAAGTGTTCAATCAGATTATTGTATGAAAGTGTATCTGGGTTGACCCTCTTTGTGCCCATTGATTTGAAAACATTAATGGCGTCACTGAATTTCCTTTCAGCGCAATAACCATCCACTATCACATTGAAGCTCCCCAGATTGACAGTCAATGTTTTAGGAGGATCGTGTTCTGTCATCATCCTATCAAATAGGCTCAGAGCCTCCTCAAACTTACCGTTCTTGCTTAATGCATCTAAAATATGATTGAAAGCCACAGCGTTCATCTTAATTATTGAATTTTCACCGACGGCTTCTGCATAACACTTCATAGCCTCATCTTCCATTCCCTTCAAGAAGTAACCTTTCATCAAGCTCCCATAAACAACTCCATCCGAGACAGAACCACCAGACTTTTCCTTCAATTCCTCATAGAGTTGGAAAATTCCATCTGAATCTGAGTTCTTAGCTAGAGCAGACATCAAGTAATTGTACACAATGGGGTCCGCTTTGAATCCCTTAGATAACATCTCTTCTTTCAATTCGAGTGCCTTTTCAAGCTTACTGTTATCGACTAGACCTTTGATTAAGATCCGGTAAGTGGTGGGGGAGGGGTTGAAAGGGGCATCGTTGATGAGCTGCTTATAGTGCTCCAACGCCATGTCAGTCTTTCGACAATCCATATACGTGGATAAAAGCAGGTTGTGCGTGACGATGTTGGCGGCAACCCCAGCCTGTGTGATGAAACGGTGGAGAGATAGAAGGTCGGCGTACCTTGATTGGCGGAGTTGCGCAGCCATGACGGAATTGCAAGTGAAGATTGTGGGGCGGCAGTTGGAATAGATGGAGTGCCGAGTGAGAAGCGCCGCTTCCTCCAAATCATTCTCTCGGATCAGCTTGAGGATCCGGTTATGGAGGTTGAGTCGATTCCCGGTCAGTACAGCTACAGTTTCTGGGATCTTTGGAGCATTGGGGTTAGAGTTCTGTGGGCTGATCGGGCGAGGTTGCTGCTGCTGCTGTTGCCGAAGGGCGGAAATCGGAGGTTCGATGCGAAGGCGGCGCTTTCGTTTGCGGCGTTCTGCGGCGGCCTCTTCTGGGGTGGCAAAAGAGAAGAATCGAATACATCGGAAGCTGGGCGTCGGCGCTTGGTGCCGGAAATGGCGTTTAGTCAGAGTTCTAATATGGTTATTAAAGAAGGAGAGTTTCGAGGAAGCCATTTTCCCGGGAAGATGAGAGTTGTGGGCAGGTCGCTGCGCAAAAATGCAGAATTAGGGTTCTAGTAAGGGTTTAGCACCAGATTGGGGGTGAAGAAGAAAACGATGGGTTTGGATGGGGACCATTCAGATTCTCAGAAGCATAGAGTACCGGATACATTTATAAATAACAAGAATACAAGAGTTAATTTGCAAATAACAAAAAAAAAATTAATGTCATTGATACATATGGCAACGGGGTCTATCAGGTACAATTTTACATATAATCGTATCTGCCCTGTAACCACTCTATTACCCAACAGATAATTTTTACTCAAACCATAACTGCCACAACGGTAACGGGTATAACCGCGGATAAAGCCGGATAATCGCTTGATTAAATGAGTCATTAGTATTTTAATATAAAATATATATTTTAAAAGGCGAAAATTGCATCGCCTGGACGGCTCTAGACTCATACTATACGTCACTTTAACGTTTTGTATATCTACAAGACGAGAAAGATAATACACTTAATTTGAAACTAAATATACTTAATTTGAAAAATAATTAATCACGAAAAAATTCGATAATAATCAAACAAGAATAGCAATATAAAAGGACCACATGTAACCATTCGCCCTTAGTCAACACTCTGAATTAATCACCTTGAGAAAGCAATATAACTCGCTAGACCTAACTTGGGCAAATTAAAGCCAACAACGATTACCGTAAACCTCTCAACCCCCAAACCTAATGCAAGAGTTTTACAGCAGAAGAAAGAGTAAACACAAAAAATAATAATCTGACTGTGGAATAAAACGAAAATTAATAAAATAAACCGACAAAGTAACTGAATCCATGCTTCAAACATCATCCTCGGCGGTGGCTCAGGAGGGGGACGGATCATCAACCCTTCATCTTGAAACATTCCTTGAAAACCCACCACCACAATTTCTTGAGATCCAGACTGCAAAGCCGCCAAGCAAAGCCGACCACAGCAACTCCGACCGCAGCTTCTCTCCCGAAACACCCGACCCCAGCCCGTCCAAAGCTTGATGACGAAGCTGGTGAGAACGAAACAGAGAAAGTAAAACCGATGTTCAATCGACAGAGCCCTTAAACTTTTCGGTGCAACTATGCAAGTTACATGTTGACCTTAGAACATTTCATTTTGCATTCTTTTAATTAAAAACTAAATTTTAATTACTCCCACTCTCCCAGGCCAATCGTAAACTGTCCACTAAATTTTAGTTACTACTTAGTACTTACTCCCACTCTCACTAATAATTTACGAGTAACAAGGAGTAAATTAAGAAGAAACCAAAAGTCTTTTCAGTTGTAACTTGAAACACTTGGGATATCACCAACGTAACACACCAATAAAGCCATAAGTATATTGTAGGGTATTAACGAGTGATAATATTCATCTCTATCTCTATTCTTCCTTCTTTAATTTCTTGCCTGTAATATCTGATGTAGGCTTTTGTTTCTCAAAAAACCAGTTATTTACTTTTTGTAATTTTATTACAAAGGTTAGATATTTACTTTTTGTAATTTTATTGTTGTAATTGATTTTAATTTAATAGTTACGATTTTGATTTTTCTTCGTACAAATGTGTTACACGTTTATTATTTATACTTGAAGTTATTTATTTTAAAGTTATTCTGAAATTTTCTCTTTAAAAAAATTAGATTTACTAATTTATGATTATAGTATAAATAATTAGTGCTTCATTACTATTTTCGATTTATGCTATGACGGGAAATGGGAGCAAGAGTATGGGGCTTCCAAGAGAAAGCTTAAGAAAAAAAAGGATGAAGTTGTACATTAATCTCTTGCGGGTTCTATTGATAGAGATAGGCATGTAACAAAACCTTCTCTTTCAATGTCAAATAAGAATTTAGAGACAAATGATAAAATGCGCATCAAAGTATTGATGTTGAAAATGAAAATAAGAATCACGGTTCAAGCGGCGGTAATGAAGCTTCAAATGTAGATAATGTGAATGTGAATTTTAATATTTAACTTAGGTAGTAATTACGTTCTTTCAATTTATATTTACTTAATATTTAATTTAAATATTGATTTAAGTATTATCCAAATTCATTTTTTTCTTCTGGGGCACCAAAATTCCCAAAGCCGGCCCTGGGGATTTTGGCAGGGATATGCAAAATCCGTGCAAAAAACACTTCGGCACGAGCTATTTGGCACGAAAAATAGGTAAATTTGTGCCAAATTCCGTGTCAATCCCGTATTTTTTTTGTAGTGACATGTTTATTACTCCGTACGTAGTATGTAATAAATGTGTTTATTGGTATGTAATACCTAGTTTTTGGTGCGGAACGTGTTTATTTTATTTTGTTATGTTCCTATTTGATATATTTTCTCTTCCAAATACTACACATTCATCATCTTCCTATCCTGTTTAAAATCTCGAAATGATAGTTTCGTTTCATGATTTATTTCAAGAGGTGCAAAGTTATTCAGAGGGTTGGAATTTGATCTATGTGCTAACATTTGTTGTGCCTGCTAAGACTGCTTTGGTGCAAGAATTATCTTTAGTCATATTGCATTATATTATAGCAATGTTGGTTTCAAAAATATTGTTTTTGTTTCAGGTCATACACATTAGCAAGTTTCTACATGTTGTTTAGAAGCACGTATTAAGACTGTATTAACACTCCCACTTTGATATCTCACATTTTTGGTTTAAAAATATTGTTTCTGTTTCAAGTCGTACGAAGTACATATTAGCAGGTCTCAAAATGTCTTCAGACCGATTTGCTTCAATATAATTTCGTTTGATTTGTTACCAACATGATAAATGTCTTGAGACTGATTTGTTTTTAATTGATAGCTCCACGGAAAATGCTCAGAGTTCATAACCAAAATAAGTGAAGCAATTGAAAAACTATGAAGACCACTTGTGTATAGAGCCAAACATTCAAATAATTACGATATGGAAAAACATCTTCACACATGTGGAAAACATTAGTAGTAGAGTACTGAATCATAAACTTTTGGTATATAAGTCCACATATATGTGTGGAAATTGTGATTCTTGTATCTCAGCAATGAACTGATCATGGGATTGGCAGGGATTTTGACACGGATTTTGGCAGGGATACGCCAAATCCGTGCCAAAAATACTTTGGCACGAGCTATTTGACACGAAAAATTGATAAGTCCGTGCCAAATTCCATGCCAATCCCGCCTTTTTTTTGCAATGTGATGAAGATGCAAGTGATGCAACAAATGAATTATCAATTTTATTAAAAGGCATTACAATATGCTGAATACATAAATGGCTGTATAATATTATAAGAATTAGTTAAAAGTACAGTATTAATTATTCTATTATAATCAAAATTATTCATTGATATACACACATATATAATTATACGAATCGTATACATATATACCGTATATTAAGCCAAGTATGGATGTATAGAGAACTGGGTCATGTACTAAGACCAGACAAGTAAGCAACTCCGGTAGATGGCAACCAAGATGAACCCGAGAGTAAACGCGACACGGTGAACATGTTTGCCTCCGTCTCGAGTTTAATAACACGATATCCGGGCCAATTCACCCGTTGGGCCAGACCCGAACCTGGCCCATTATTCATGTACTCACCATAGTACAATGTGGAAAGTGCAAAATCCCCATTCCACTCTAGCCAACCCCTAGGGTCAACATGGTCCCCAATGTAACACAACATGTAAACTGTCCTTGAGTACATCTTCCAAGGCCGCCCTAGGAACGTAGGGGTGGTGTCCTTGGCTGATTCGAGGTCCGTGGCAGCAAGGATGTTGCTAGCGTGGATGGAAATGCCCGTGTACTGATTCGGGTCTTTTCGGTTCTGGGCCGTGATGGTGTTCTTTTGGTTAGCCATGGGCTTTCGGGCGTAGATGTTGCATTTCTGGACGACAACGGCAGCGTTGCCGAAGATGAAGTCGACGGTACCGTAGATGTCGCATTCTCGGTAGAATTGTCGTTGGGAATGGACATAGAGTGTGTCTTGATATCCAATGATTTCGCAACGGTAAACCACCGCGTGATCGGCTCCTACACGGAGAGCCACCGCTTGATGCTTCATCGGACCTGCGGTGTTCTGGAATGTAATGTCTTTGGCTATGAATCCATTTCCAGTTGCAGCTGTATGAGAAATCATGAACTCATTATATGCTCCTTAGTCCTTATAATTATTACGTTGACAAGTTTTATCATATTTGGTTTAATTTTATCTATTGGAGAAAAAAAAGATGACACCCCATCCCCGAGGGCCCCCCAACAACGACCGGACGGCACGACGGGAGGATGTAAATTGGACTATAATCACAATCTGATAGATAGAGAGTGGGGCTCCGTTCCCGGTACTTTCAGAGGGCCTCTATTGAGTAACCTCTCATTGCAGTTGGCGAGAGTCGAACCCGGGATCTAACCCTTGTGGCACTCCCTCGCTACCTCCACCGGTATCTATTCGAGTAAATGAGTTTGGGTGGTTTGGTTGCCATAGCTAAATTGGGTAGGCATTATGTCAACCGGATGGTAGTGGTTACCTACAGAAGCAACATTGTGACCGCATCACCCTTTTCCAAATTTAATTAATTAGTTGTTCGAAAATGATGCATGGTCACATTGCTTTTGATCTCATATGTGTGTGTATTATATAAGGAGTATTATATACACGATAACACGAGTAATTAAGGGTTTGTTTGATACTTTTTCTTTACTAATCACCCTTATATGTCATCCTTTTTTTTAATAAAAAATGTTACTTTTAATTGCGCACGATGAATTGTATATTAATCATAATTATAATAAATAAAGCTAGTTTAGAGTCATTTTCTGACTGAATTGGCTAAAGTTATTATATAGAATCATTTTAGTTATTTTTTTTATTTTGTGTGCTGAATTGCACATTAATAAAAGAGGTAAGGGTCGGATTGGTACTCGAAGTTGCATAAAAAGTGTCAAACAAGTCCTTATATAGGAGGCTCTATCCGGCTGTCGTCGGCGGTTCTTCGGTGAAATTTTTGACGAAATTTTTTGAGCATCTTATTCATTAAGTCTAGTTTACTTATACCAAATTTCAGCTAAGAATTCAACTGGGAAGTCATTCAAATGAATTCTTGAAGATAACTGCGCAATTAAAAGCACAATTATCTTCAAGAATTCATTTGAATGACTTCCCGATTGAAGTTTTAGCTGAAATTTGGTATGAGAAAACTAGACTTAATGAATAAAATGCTCAAAAAAATTCATCGAAAAATTCCACCGGGAACCGCCTCAAATGGGGATAGCCGGATAGTAAGGACTTATTTGACATTTTTTATGCAACTTTGAGTACCAATGTGATACTTACCTCGTTAATAAAATATATTTTAAATGTAATTGATTGTTCGAAAGTGATGGTCACATGATTCACATTGCTTTTGATCTGATACGTGTGTGTACACAGTAACACGAGTAATTAATTAAGGGCTTGTTTGATAACTTTTTTTTTTTACTTATTAACCTTATAAGTCATCTTTTATAAAATAAGTAACTTTAAAATTTTCACACTGCATTGTATATTAATCATGTAAGTAAGGCTGGAATTACTTTCTGACTGAATTCGTTGAAGTCACTCTATTAGACCATTTTAGTTATTTTTTTATGTATTTTATTAATAAATCATATTTTAAATTTAATTAGCTGTTCGAAAGTGATGGTCACATGATTCACATGGCTTTTGATCTGATATGTGTGTTTGTATACACGATTACACGAGTAATTAAGTCTAACAATTGAAGTCTTAGTCGTATGTGTTAATTAAGCACTTGTAGACTTGTAGTCATGAGACTGTCTAGCTGCCAACCGAGCATATATGCTGTTAGTTGACAACTTGATCCCTTAGTGAGTTACAACAAATATTTCATGCATTCCATTAATGCTTAATTTCTTGTTTTGTTATTATTTTTATTTTCAGTAGTTTTGTGAAGTTATAATTAACTTCTCTAGAAAAGAATGTTCAATATATATGAACCACACACTTCCCTCTCAAAAGGATACGCCAAGAATTGCAAGGTACATCATACCATATTGTAAAATTAAAGAGGTTTCACAAAGTAAATGCCACTACCTCAATTTTTTTTATTAAATGTCCTTTTAGTATTTTGAAATTGGGGGAATTTGACTATGTACTCTACTCTATGTTTTCGATTACACTTGATTTTACACACCGTTTTTAAAATCATTAATGTGTGTTCTACATTTCACCTATAAAATCATATTCCGTATTACTCTGCATCTCACTCCTTCACAATTTTTGTTTTGATGAAAGTACAAATTAAATATTAATGATTTTTACAATCAGATGTTGAATCCAATATGATCAAAACATAAATTGCAAAGTCAAATTTTATTTGTAGTATTGATCAAAACATAAATTGCAAAGTCAAATTTTATTTGTAGTATAAAGTGGAGTGAGCCATATATGTATGAATTAATTTCGAGCATGTACAGTTCGTTGACATAAATTACCAACCATGAAGTATACTTTATTCTTTCCATTTTCGTAGTAATCACGGAGATAATACACATTAGACGCGATTGTCAATTAATGGTGTGAGCCTCACACAACACAATTGTCGTATTATTGGCACTAGACCGGCCAATTTATAATTATAGTATAATGGAGGATTGATTATTGGTGGACACTGTGGATAAGGAATCCCATTCCAATATGACACTGAAATCCACGTATAGTAGGACAATAGATTAGGCCACTTGGTTTGACGAGGTTGGGAATATGTATTTTTTCACCTAAAACGAAGGAATCTCTTAAGAATAGATGCAATTGAACTTGCTTCTTGGTTAAGGGATTAGGGATACAAATCAAATTTCATTAAGCCGTACAAAAAAATTGATGTTTTTGTGTGTCACCTTTTAATGTTTCGCTTTTAATTTTGCTTGTTTTCGTTGCACTTTTTCGCGATAGTGAAAAAAATTGGTTTATTTACAAAACCGTCACCGTGGTTTCGGACGAATTTGGCCAAAATCGCAATGGCGAAAAAGTGTAACGGAAACACGAAAAAGTAAAAGGGAAACATCAAAAAGTGCAAATTTCGCACTTTACACGGGAAGACAACGTGTGTGAAAATTACACACTTCGTATTAACTAGAACGGAAATTAGTGTCTCCAAACATACAAACCAATGCATGTCACGCCCATTAGTTGTCATTTTCAACAACTTGCATGTTATTCAGATGACTTTTCTTTAGGCCATACATGCTTCGTTGGTGAACTAATGTGAAAGACATACTCTGTTATTATTTGTATGAAAGAATGTACAAACACCACTTCTCTATATCTATATAAAAACATTAAATGGAGTTTGGAAAGCCTACATTTGTGTTTGGTGGAGATCGATCGAATTGCGAGCTGAAAGTTCCTATAAACACGACTTTCACTAAATAAGAGGTTTTTAATGGATTGTTTATTTGTGGAGATATCCTCCTAAATTGAGATAGCTGCTGTATTCTGGAATAGTAATACCGAATTTTGGTGTTAATTTTGGTATTATTGGACATTAATATGACATGATTAATGTCGTAATTGATATTATTTTCAAACATCGAAATAATTACTCATATTTAGGAAAGACAATTACTTTAGAATGTCACAATGTTTTAACTCCCACTTGAGAAAATTTGAGTTTACTTGTTTTTATATATAACAATAAACAACATTCTTGTTTATTCTCTCTAACCTTAATCTAATTAAGACATTAACCCAGCATAGCACATGCCTTGTTAGGCTATTCCAAAGTATTAAGACATTAAAGTAATTAATGGGGAATAATGATGTTCTGATGTGATGGTGTTTATTCTATGTGTGTTCTACAATCGAAATCTGGTCTATCTGATCTAATCTGAATCGATATAGTTAATTACAATATGGTTAACTTTCATCTGGTGTGAGACTAAGGATGTTTTGCTTGTACATAAATTTTCTATTCTGATTTAGTCTGAACTAGTTTGGTCTAGTAGATGTCTGATTTCTCACTATTTCACAATTATGAAAGTTAGGCCTGATCTGATCTGAGCTGAACTGGTTTAATCTAGTATGATATGAAATTGAAATAAATCCAAATAAATACATCATAAAATCAGTTTAACTTTTATTGCAATTTGTATATATAAAGAGAAATTATTAAATTACCAAATGATGCAGTATGGAATGTGGTGAGCTTTTGAGTAACGCTTTTCTTGCCCGTAATCACCGTTTTGCCCTTTCCATCTCCAATTAACATTACGTTCGTTTTCTTCTTCCCAATCTTCAGATTATGTTCTTCGTACCTGCATGTGCACGTAATTTTCAATACAATTTAATTGTGTCCGTACATCTGTACTGTCAAGTATTCTAATAATCTAAAAAAAAAGGATAGACACCTCATGACTGAAGATGACACGATGAGATGATGTAAATTGGACTATAATCACAATCTGACAGATAGAGAGTGAGGCTCCGTCCCCGGTACTTGCAGAGCCCCTATGCATTTTTAGCATAGTACGGAGTAATTTTTCATCGCAGTTGTCGGGATTTGAACCCGGGACCTAACCCTTATTGCACTCCCTCACTACCAGTTGAGCTACGCCCACCGGTAGTCTTCTAATAATCTAAGAATGCCCCTTTGTTTATTTATTTTTCATTTTCTGCCGACCGTAAAGAAATTTCTCATTATTGCAACCCGACAATTGCCCAATCAAACTTCGATCATCACATGATATTAAATAATTCTCTCATCAGATCAATCTAATTAATTAGGATTCCTTATCGTAATCACGATTAAACTGGCTTGATTAATAACCTAAACGTCGATCTTAGCTAGAGTTTAAGCTTGGACTATATACGGACCGTTTGTGTTGTATTAGTGATCGAAAAGACTCAGCTCAGTGAAATTCTGACTTGATTAAGTCTCTCAAGTTCCTAAATCTTAGTATTAACGCAAAAGTTTGCAAAATGTTGTCATTTTACCTTAAAATTGTGTCTTTTTTTTTTCTTTTTTGAAATGTCTCAAAAACTTTCCCACTCTCCTTATAAAAATTCTTTATATTTTTAGTGTAAAAATATAAGTGTGAAAATTTATTTGAAAAAAATTCTTTATATCGGTCCACTCCAAACTTGAATCCTAGATATACACCTAACAATTTTTATTTTATTATTCTCCATATCGGTCAAATCTAACAAAATTTTAAGGGACGAAAGGAATATATTGTCCACTAAACATTGCACTTAGTGTTAAAACTGAACTACTAGCTTAGTAGACAGTAGGTGCTACATTCTGCCTAGTACTTGTCCTGAAAAAACATTTGCCAAACATAGATGCAATTTTTATGAAGCATTCCCTACTTTATTTCCTAGCTGTTTAGCCAACTTAATTAAAGTATGTGGCAATTCTGTGCTGTCAGATAATTTTAGGATACTTTTAATTTGATTGAAATTTTATGGTATAGGTGATACTCCGTACATGTTTTGTGCATATTATATTTTATTATTATCTAGATTGGATGCGGTCCGCTTATATTTGATATACGGACTATGTATTATGTGTATTTTATTACAGTATTATCTAAATTGGATCTAATCTAATCTAGTAGTGTTATAAACTTTTTAACTTTTGTGTGGGTCGGAAAACACATGAGTAAAACTTCCTCAAATATACTTATTTTTATAAATAAAAAATTATGGTGGAAAATATTTGATGACTTGATTATATTCAAATTTATAATTTTACACTGATATTTCAACGTAAGGTAACTTTATTCCTTAAAAAAAACGTAAGGTAACTTTAGTCATATTTATATTTAAAAAATTACTAGTACTTCATAATGTCTTAGGAGAAACTTATGTTGTAAGACTCGAACTGGCCCGAACCGACCCGGAAAGGGCCACCCGGCCAACAATTTGGTCCGGTTGGGTATCGAATCGCAAATGTGGTGAAAACCGGAATTAGCCGGCGACCCGCTGCAACCCGCCACGGACCGACCCGCTACAAACTCACGCCTGCTGTTGCATTTTGGCATTCCCAACCAATGAACTACGTTAGCTGGTTGGTAATTTCATCTGCTTCGCTATACGTATACCTTCAAACTTTGTACCACTTTAATTGAGCTTTAATTAATTAGCTTGTTAATTAATTAATTTATAATAAAAAATTACAATATATACAAACCAATGCTATTTATATACTTTCTCAATCCTCATTATGTATGTCATTTTTATCTTTTACTTATTTTTATTTTGTAATGTGTATTATGTTCATATTAACCATCCATGTATACACAAATGTAATTTAAATTTTGTTAAAACTAATATACTTTAATACAATAGTTTTTTTTACATTACTTACGAAGTACTATCCTCCGTTTTTTAATCGCAACATGTTGAATTTTACACTATTCACATGTCCCACTTTGACTACATGTTATGGTATTATTTTACGATTTTTTTTAAAAAATATTGTTTAATTCATCTCATTACAAATTTTCAGAATCTGATTTTTAATTATTTTTTACTAATAGAGGTTAAGATATAATTATATTCAAAGATGTGCGTTGGCTAGTGTGAAATGTTGACCGTCGCAACTAAAATAGAACGGAAGAAGTATATTGTATTATCAATACTCCCTCCGTATTTCAATGTTCTCTACAATAGGTTTGGGCACAAGATTTAAAGGTAAAATAGTAGGGGTGATGAATAGTGTGAAAAAAAGTAGGATAAAAGGTGGAAAAGTATGAAAAAGAAGATAAAAAGTAGAAAAAGTAAGGGTAAGTGAGTATTTTTAAAGGAAAAACTTGCTACAAATGGAAAGTGTAGCAAACTTTTAAATACGTCAAAAAAGGAAAGTTTAGCAAAATTTAAAATACGGAGGGAGTATTAAATTAAGAAAGGATATAAGTTTTCTATTTATAAATTTAATTTTTATATAATTAATTGTATTCGTGTTGACCTGGTTGACCCGCTGGCTCCGAGTTGACTCGTGATCCAGTCATTTGTTCGGGTCACTTACATGTCAGGTTTTTACAACATAGGGAGAAACCCGCAAATTAATTAAGAAATTGATTACACATATTTACTAAAAAGTAATCCAAAAAGATATAAATAAACTTACACTCCTTCCTTGATGTAAATGACGGTCCGGCGAGTGCTGTGCTCCGGCAGCATTTTAATGGCGTCGGTGATCGTCTTCACAGTTCCGGTTCCATCCTTAGCCACAATTATATCGGCTTGGATTGGAAGAGCCGATGTGCCCAACAATTTCCGATCACTCTCCGACACCCATTTCGGAAAACCACTGTGCTCCGGCAATCCAATTACAGAGTCCCGATGGTCCAAGAGTTTGCGCCGGCGATTCTGAATCGGCACACCGGAGAATTCATTTCCGCCGTTTGCGGAGGCGAAAATTGCCAAACAATTGCTGACCAGTTCAGTCATGTCCTTCAACCTTTTCGTCACCAGATCTTTCACAGCCCCATTACTGGCATCGGCAAATCCCTCCATACACGTGTCGTGATTAGTCAAAGCGGCGCTCAGCCACGTGGCGACATCCTCTCGGGAGCTCCCTCCGGACTGGAGGGAGCTCAGAGAGCGGTCGAGGAGGTCCACTGAGTCCTCGAGAAGCTCGAGGCAATCCTCGTATGCCGACCGGACCAGCGTGTCCATTTCGATATTGTTGACATCGTTGACACTGAAGAGTGTCGAACCGGCTCGCCGGAGAGTGACGTTGACTGAAATGTTGACCAGATCGGCGTCCGTGGCGGAGGTCGCGCCGGGGAAGTCGAGGAGTGAGCTGAGGCAGAGGCTCGGGTACCGAGTCTTCCCACAGCTCCGAGCCATGGCTTGGCTCGGCTTGGCGGTTATTCTGTCATTCTTGGAGCCGGATTTGCCACGTATTCCGACCAAAACGCCGACAGAAATGGCACAGGAGAAAATAAGGACAGTGGCGAATACGAGGAGGAGCTTGACGGTTGGCCTACGTGGGTTTGACGTGGCGTCATCTGATTGCAGGATTTGCCGGCGGGAAGAATCCCCCGGTTCCTTTCCGATCGTGATATGACCCATCGTGTATAGAAGAAGGTGGTACTAAATACTCTGACGCAGAGTATGTAGTGAGTTGATGCAAACCGTTGATGGCTTTATAAGGGTCCTTTTGTAGCAAAAAAGATTAGTACAGAGTCAAAAAGTTGAAAGAGAAGGATGTATCGATATATAGATAACCACATGAAGACAATGATTAGTGCACCTACTTAGTCTTAATTAGGATGATGTTTTTACTTGGACTGTAATTTGCTGGTCTGGTCTGATATGGTCTGGTCTGGTAAGGTCTGGTTTCTTTGTATTTTTATAACTATCCAAGTTTGGTCTGGTCTGAACTGGTCTGGTCTGGTCTTGACTGGTCTAGTCTGGTCTGGGAGAAATTACGGTCCAAGTAAAAACATCCTTATTTGTCTTCTAAATTTTGTATGATTTTAAGAAATGGTTATCTTTTAAAAAAAATCTAAATGTATCAAATTTAGTTACTACTGTTTTGGTGAAATAATATATTGAACCTAGAATATTGCTGTTAGGAGCTTACGGGGGAGCCGGGGAGGTCTAGTTTGGTTGAAGAAAAACATTCTGCAGAGAATTATCAACTTTCTATGATTGCCAAAAGCTAAACAAACATCAGCTCTCCAAAATCTGGCCTTCATGACCAACCAAGAAAAATAATAGCGTAATGATCGATTAAAAATAGTGAGATATAATTGACCTTATGGAGTTATGGGAGAAGCTACCACAGGCCACAGAAGATTTCTGCAACTAAGTTAGAGTTTGCCATTATGTTTGTTTGTGCGAATTGCGTGATTGTGCTACATATACTACTTCATTTTGGAAGAGTGCCAAACTGTTCGGTTGATTAGTTGATATGGTGAATGGGTTTCAAATCAAATCAAAGAAAACCAAACCTAATCATTTGGATTTATTGAAGTTACCATCATTTTAGCTATTTTTCAGATTATTAATAAAATATATTTTGAATATAATTTTTTTATAATTCAGAAAAAGTATTCAACTGAGACGCTTCAGCCAGAACTTCATAAATTTCAGCAGAATTAGCCGATTCAGCCAATTTCAGTGTTATCAAACAATTCTTAATTTTCGGTTCTATTCGGTTTGGTTTATAACCCGACTATTTGATCCCTGAGAACATCTTCAACGCAATGATGTGTATGGTGTATTTAGAATTTGTCTTAGCTTCTTCGGACTTTTTGAAGAGACAAAGTTAACATTATGTAATTAACTTAATTACTCCGTATTTAGAAAAATTTACCCCAATAGGTGTAAATATTATCATAAAGAAAATGAAGGATTATAAATTACATAAAACAGGACTAATTAATATTGTTCATGTTCTACACTCACTATATTCTAATAAGATACATTTTTTATAATTTTTTTTTTAATGTAGGCCTCTGTCGCCGCCTTCGAGCACCGCTACCGCCATAGAAGCGGTCGCCACAAGTGAAATGTCACCGGTCAACCGAGTGTGGCAATTATATATGTCAACCCTATGGTAGCGATCGCCCATAGAATTGAAGCAACTTGTTAGTCACAGCTGCAACCCTCTCCAAAATTAATTAGTTGTTTGAAAGTGATAGTGACATCGCTTTTGATGGATCTGATGTGTGTGTCTACACGATAACACGAGTAATTAAGTCCAACAATTAGAGTCTTAGTCGTGTCTTAATTAAGCACTCGTAGTAATTAGACTATGTTTAGCTGGCCAACTGAGCAGATAACCTACTCGACTTGTGATCGATCGATCGATAATGCCCGTGAGCTGTTACTTGACCGCTTCATCCATTCGTGATTTAATTTGCAACTAATACTTAATCCATCTCATAAATGTATTTTAATTTCTTCTTTTGTTATTTTCGATCAGTAGGTTGTAAGCATCTTTAAATATGTAATAGTATTTTCCCTACATCATATGCATGGAGACATGGAGTATATGTGATAACTTCTACTTTTCTAATCCAGCTATTCGCGTTACTTTGATAGAAGCTAAGTTAAGTCAACATTAAGTTGCTTCACAAAATACAACTATAAGAATAAGAGAAAAGTAAAGAGTTTTCAAATTAAAATGATAATAGAAATTTGTACTATTTAAACGGTTTTCATTGGTTCAATTCGATCTTAGTTTTATGCTTGATACTACAGTTTTTAAATTAATTTGTACTTTCTAAATTTAAGATCTTTTTTCATGAGAGAAAGTGAAGTTTTTAGCATTGATTTGCCACGACAGTTTTTTATACAAAACAACACTCGTATTAAATTAATTAAAAGGTCATATTTCATCAAATAATTGTAATATTTTCTTTTAATAAGACATTTTCACTCAATAAAACTAATGATTACTAATAAACTCACATACGGACTCACCCTCGATCTCACACTATGGACTCCGTTAGTTTAGCTTTTATATCATCTATTAGTTATTCCATGTAGTTGAGCTTGTCAAGCTTATATGTGATCCACTTTTTCTCCAATATAATGCCCTTGATAAACTTGTAACCCTAACTCATATCCATACACATATACAACTATTTATCATCTATTTCACCTCTTTTAGCTCAAATAATATGCCTTGATTCCTATAATCCATCATTTGGACCTCCCAAAAACACAAATATTTATCACAGATTTACAATCACAAAAAGTCTACCAAAGTCTGTTTTGGAAAATTCAGCAAAAAAGAAGATGACCCGCTAAGCATTACGGGACATTAGATAACTAGACGTCCGCATAGAAATGATTTACGGTTTCGGTTTTATTTGATTGGCTAAAGGGTCAAATAGGCCCTTGAACTGACTTAAAATATTCAATTAGCCTCTTATATAGGAGGTTCTGCCCGGCTGTCGCCAATTGGGGCAGTTCCGGTGTAATTTTTTGATGAAATTTTTTGAGCATCTTCTTCATCAAGTCTAGTTTACTCATACCAAATTTCAGCTAAAAATTCAACCGGAAAGGCAGTCAAATGATTTTTTGAAGATAACTGCGAAGTTAAACAACGCAATACATTTCGGAAAATCATTTGACTGCCTTCTCAGTTGAATTTTTAGCTGAAATTTGGTATGGGTAAACTAGACTTAATGAAAAAGATGCTAAAAAAATGTCATCAAAAAATTCTACCGGGAACTGCCCCAATTAGCGACGGCCGTGCAGAACCTCCTATATAAAGGGTTAATTGAACACTTTAAGTCAGTTCAAGGGTCTATTTGACCCTTTAGCCTATTTAATTTAGTCAATGCGATTCCTATTTCTTTCTCTTACTTTGAATACCAATTTATTATCTAGTTCAGAAAATTCAAATGTTTCCGCAGTAATATCACTATTACATATATTCAATCGATTTCAACATCACTAAACAGAGTATAATACTTTAATGAGTTAAAAGGGAGGTCAAGGGCACAAGATGAGCATGTATGACTTAAATATCGAGTGCAGTTCGTTGACACTAACCATAAAGTATACTTTTTTCCTTTCCAATTTTATAGTATTCACGGAAATCATACACAATAGACGCGAGTGTCCATTAATGGAGTGAGCCTCACATAACACAAATGCCATCTTATGGGCACTGGACCGGCCAACATATAAATATAATGGAGGATTGATTCATGGTGGGTAGTGATGTGGATAAGGAATCTCATTCCCTTCTAACCAAGATGACACTAAAAGTCTAAAATGTAGGGTATGGTATGACATTAGATTAGACCATTTGCTGGGGATAGCTCACTTGATAGAAAGAAAATGTCACGAGATAGAAATCCCTAATTCAACTTCAAAAAAAGAATGACTTGAAACTTCACTTTTTTCATTAGCGTGTGATCAAATTAATTAGTGGTGACACTATATATGGTAATATGGATAAGGAATCCCATTCCTTTTGGCCAAGATGACACTAAAACTCTAAAATATATATGTACTAGGAAAGTAGGTTAGGCCATCTGCTGAACGTAGCTCATCTAATAGGAAGAAAGTGTCACGATCGTGAGGTTTCGGGTTCATTTCTAAATAAACCTGACTTGAAACTTCACTATCTTAGAGAATAGATAGGAATCTCATTCCTTTCTGCCAAGATGACAAAGTCCACGTATAGTAGGACAGTAGATGAGGCCACGTCACCCGGTTTGACGAGGTTGGGAATATGTATTGTTTCTCCTAAAACAAAGGAATCTTAGAGAATACGTAGATACAAATGAACTTGCTTCTTGGTTAAGGATACACGACACATTTTTTTTAGCCGCCGTACCAACAAAAATGGTTTTTTTTTGTGTATCATCGGTCCAAAATCATCGTACCATTTTTTAGAGAACAATTATGTGTTCGTTATACGGAGCATATAATTGTCCAAAACGAATCTATATCACACAAAATTTCGATCTGTGTCAAACCTTTTTGTTGAAAATTACGTTGCGCTGGAACGTACGTTAGTATCGTACCCTTGCGATGCATAAGACAAAAATGTTTTTGTGTGTTTGTTTATTTTAAATAAGCGAAATTGACACCAATAATCCCTACTTTTAGGTATTTTACAAAAATAATCCCTACTGAAAAAGTTAACAACAATAATCCCAACCGGAGAATTGTTTCACAAAAATAAACTGGAAGTTAACGGTGTTAACTTTTCTGTTAATTTTTTAAAATTTGAAATAAAATGAAGCAAACATATATAAAAACATTAATGATAGTATGTTTTTGTTTAGTCTTATTTCTAATATAAATTTGATTTTATTTAATAATAACTATTTTTGTAAACTATAATAAAAATTTGAACACAAACTTTTATTCATTTTAGTACGAAGTAATGTGTAATATACAATTACTAAAACTAATTTTAAATCTCTGTTACAATGAAATAAAAATGAATATAAATAAAATATTGATTAGAACTAAAAAAATGAGAATTTGATGAGTATGTTTTTATTATGACTTTTTTTATTATTCAGCAGATTAGACCAAGCCGATTCAGTTAAAACTTCATAAATTTCAGTCGATTCAATTAACTGTTGAAAAGGGAAATGAAGTTATTAAATTACCAAAAGATGCGGTGACCTATGAGTTTTTTGAGAAAAGATTTTTAAAAAATATTAATAAAATAAAATTTATTTACACAAATATGACTGATAATTAATATAATGTAATATCATGATAATTTATGTTTAAAATTTTTAATGTAAACAATATTTATTTTAGTCATAAATATAACAGTTATCCGGCCCAAAAACCGTCTTGGTTGCGCTTCCCATCTCCGCCGATTCACATGGCGTTCAGATTATGTTCTTCCCACCTGCATGTGCACGTAATTTTCGATGCACCCCTTTTTTTTTGTATGAACAGCAGTACCGTCAAACCTTCTAATAATAATAATAATCTAATAACACTCCTTTATTTATTTTTATTTTCTTCATTTTCGATCTGCCGACAGAAATAAAATTTCTCATAATTGCAACCACCTCTTAGCTTCATTTTCTTTCCAGCCTTCGTGAACCCGACAATTCCCCAATCAAACTTCGATTATCACATGATCAGTCTACATAATTACGATTAAACATTTAAACTGACATGATTACTAACCTAAATCTCTTAGCTTGCGCTTTGGATTAATACGGATCGTTTGCTTTAGATATTGAAAAGACTGAAAATTCAGATTAAATTAAGTCGTTGAAGTTCCTGATTTTTTCCTTCAAAAAAAAAGTTCCTGATTTTTTTAATTAGCAGAAACGTTTGCTAGGGTTTGGAAGAACACGTTTCAAGTTTGGATTTGGCCTCGAAGAACACGTCGAAAAATGACGGTTTGACCACTTAGCGTTTTCAATAAGTGAAAATGATGTTTGGTAAACAGCTGTTCGGCACTGACATTTTTGGACAGAAACGCTGAAATGAAAATGCTGCAAATAGGAGAGTTTTGAGTTAGCATTTTGAAATGACATTTTCTACTAATTTTATGGCCAAACAACTAAATTACCAAGCATCTTCTCACAACCCGTCAACTTATTCCGCTAATCAAACCCGCTGACTGAATCCGCTATTGACAATCCACTAAAATAATACGCTATCTGCTAACCGCTAACCACTAAATGCACAACACGCCCAGTAGCGAGGAACATCTAAAATGAGAGTAAA